CCCGCGTTCGATGCCGCTGTCTCCTGTGCCCTTGGCGATCGTTCAGCCGCCGCGAGCACCTCATCGAGCACCAGAAGCACCACAGGCCGCCGAAGTTCGTCGCGTCTCGGGAGGACGATGCCCTCTTCAAGGTCGCTATGTCGCTGTACAGGTTCGACCGCGTCTGCTCGGTGTTGAACCGCGCGGCTCAGAAAGACGGCGGCTACCTGGCCCGCGCTGCCGGTCTGCTTCGAGAATGGAATCGCGACGCTCCAGCGGAAGCGCTGGAGGCTGCGCGCCACTCCAACGAAGCCCACCTCGTCTTCGTCTTCACAGAGGCGGGCCCGCGGTACTGGTTGCGCGCCAAGTGCATTGACTGCGTCCGCATTAACGCCAAGATCTCGTACACCAAAGGCTTCGAGGATTCCCTGATCAGCCTGGCCTTGGTCTCGCACGGGGCGATGAAATGGCGTGATGGGCCATCTCCACAGGCAGTGGTCCCGCGACGGCACGTCGCCTTTTGGCCTGCCGCCCCTAGCTCTTGCGGGAGATCATGGACCACGTGTTCCGCCGCCCCGACGGCCTGGCGCAGCTGTCGGTGCGACGGCTCATGGGCGAGGAAGTGGCCCGCGGCGAGTTCACGGCACTGACCCACGATGGCACCTTCAAGTTCTTGTTCTCGGTCATCGGCCAGAAGAAAATGGACCAGAAGAAAGGCGGGATCTACGTCGGCCACACTCTGATGGGGATGACAGGAGCTTGCCCTGGATTCAGCGTCCAGCCCGATGAGAGCACGGAGAGCTTCGGTGCAGCGGTCAGGGAGCGGCTGACCCCCGCTGCGGTCGAGCAGGTGCGGATGCTTTACTCCGACGCCCCGAGCGAGAAGATGTTGGAGCATCTGCCGAGGTGTCTCGGCGTGGCACAGGACAGACTGCACATTGCCTTGCGGGCCGAGCAGTGCACGGACGGGAAGAGGACGGCTTGCTCATTTGAGTTGCTGCAGCTCACGAGGAAGTTTTCCCGTCCTCTCGGCGTGCCCGAGGAGTACTTGACGAGGGAGATCTACCATGGCCTCCCGATGCCCGAGGTGGTCTGGGGTGACGCGCAGCCCGCGCGCGAGCGTGCCGACAAGGACTGGGCGGATTTCTGCAACGAGCCTTTCGTCTCGCACGCGGAGTACGTGGCCGAGTTGAGGCGCATAGTGCAGAAGCACGAGAAGATCATGGACAGGAAGAATTCCAAAGGCGTGCCGCTCCGAAAAGTTTTGGAGAGCGCGAGCTCCACGAAGAACTACTACTACTTGCGCAACAATTCGGTGTTCGCCCAGCTCTCTCGCGGGCAATTGGTCGTCCAGGGCACGCCCCAGAACGAGGCCGAGCACAGGAACATGAAGCGCTGGGCGTGGTGCGTGTGGCAGCAGCACGAAGACCGCGTCCACGTGCTCAAGGAGGTCTACGCCCTCTACCGCATGCTCGTCCATGCCGCCCAGCACGAGTCGCTCGGCACGCGGCTTCCGCCCTTGCGGCTCGCAGAGATGTTGGCCGGCCAGATCGCTGCTGGCGGTCTCAGGGACGGCATCGGGCCAGACGGATCGCTGCCTATCGGAGAGGATGGCCCGAGCGGTTCTGTGCCCAACGGAAATGGGCCCAACCGCGGCGCACTCAGGAAGTCCCTCGTCAAGGTGGACGTCGGCTTGGCCGCGAAACAGAAAGAGGGAAAGAACAAGAGGGCAGCCGCGTGGAGCAAGGCTATGCCTGCAAAGAAGAAGCCGTGGGGGCACAGGAAGAGGGCGACGTCGACGAGGAAGTCCGCACCCTCCACCGTACACGCCGTGGTCGAGGAGGTCGCGGGGATCCAGGCCTGAGGCGCAGTTCCCTGAATCTTGCGCTTCGAGGCACGAAGCGCCGTAGGATTGCCCTGCTCTTGCGCCGCTATTAGGCATCGCCGCCGCACGCCTCTGTGACTGCACTGTTCAGTCGGGAGACAGTAAGACTGGGCGTGATAAGGAGAGCACGGTGATTTATGATCACTCTGCTCGGCCGCTAGCATTTTGCACGGCCACCGCAGGTATCATTTACTATCTTAGTACAGTCAGGAGGTTGTACGACTGGGGCTGCGAAAGAAAATGAAACCATGCATCGGGAATGTCGTACTTCTCATTGTTATTACCAGAAGTTTTGCACAATGCCCGTGGTCAGTGGTGAAGCTCGGATGCGTACCCCAGTATGCCATAAAGGTAAGCACCCAGATCTTCATACGTTGGAATGTTCTTGTGGCGGTCCCGGCGACCCCCAAAACAACCGAAAAACATCTCTTGCCCACTAAAGCTTTTTGAGTGCCAGAAACCTGGTAGTGGGCAAGAGCCTTTTTGGTGCTTCTGTGCAGCTAAATGTTTCTCGAGACCCGACATGCGGCCATTACGATTAATCCGCGAAGCCGGTGGAACCACAAACTTATCACAGGGAAGACCCAATGATCTTGCCCAGAACAAGACAAACACAAACATGAGCTTTGCCCCTAGGGTCTTTCGGGATCGAGAAAGCTGATATTGAGCACGAGGGTTTGTAGTTTAGTTTGCTTCGAGCCTACCCTTCGACGTTGATTGGATGCGCATTCAGGCCACCTAGATCTTTAGATCTCTAGGTGGCCTAGATGGAGCTCCTAGGCCGAATGGTCTGGGATGAGGCCTTTCACGGGGGGGGGGGTCGCCGGGGGGGGTCGCCGCATCCTCCCCGGGGGGTCCCGGAGCTCAGAAAAGCTTCAAGACGAGCCAAGAGCGCCAGAAGACACCCCCAAAAGGGTACAAGAGGGCCTCGACTCGAAGACGATCGCCCCAAGACGCCCAAGACGGCCCGAAGACGGCCCAAGAGGCCCTCAAGACGCTCCAAGAGAGCCCCAAGAGCACTCCCAAGAGGGCCCCAGGAGCCAAAATCGTCAATTTTACATCGGTTTTTGAATGATTTTGGCCTTCTCGCCTTTTCGGCTTTCCGACACTCCAAGACGGCCCAAGAGGCCCCCAAGAGGCCCCCAAGAGCGCACCAAGAGGCCTACAAGAGGGCCCCAAGACGGCCCAAGAAGGCCCCAGGACAGCCCAAGAGGCGCCCAAGACGGCCCAATAGGGCCCCAAGACGGGCCCAAGAAACGGCCAAGAGGGGGACGAGGAACCGAGAATTCGAGACTTCCGCCCTAAGAGGCCCCCGGGAAGCCCCAAGAGGCCCCCAAAAGGCCCCAAGAGGCCCCCAAGCGGCGCCAAGACGCCCCCAAGATGCGCCGAAGACGGCCTCCGGAAGCCCCAAGAGGCCCAAAAGAGGCCCGAAGAGGCCCCACAACGGCCCCCAAGAGGCTTCAAGTTGCCTTCCAGACGCCCCCGAGAGGTCAACCACGAGATCCCAACCAACATCCATAAGGCCTCCTCCTCCTCCCCCTTCACCCTTCCTCCTCCTACTCCCTTCCGCCTCCTCCTCCTCCTCCTCCTCCTCCTCGTGCCCCCCCCCCTCGTGTTGTCTTTCGTCATATTCAGGGTCGGCGGCAACGGCCGTAAGGCCTTCGCAATCTTCGAAACAGTGCATTACCCCTGAGACATTCTCATCAACTTATAAGAAGGATGACTCGTGGCCCGACGCATAAAAGGAAGGTCAGAGACACGATAGGAACTTTGGAATGGACAATACACTGCGGCCTGCCCGCCTACTGCGGCAATTGAACCGCGTGCAGCCCCATGGAGAAAGAGATACAAAGGTTAAGGGGGGATGCGTTTTTCCTGTATGCCGGGGGTTGCGGTTACGATTGCGAATGGAATGCGACGGTGTTGGCTCCCCGGGGCTCTCTTGGAGATCCTCTTGGAGCGCTCCGGGGGCATCTTGGAATCCTCTTCGACCGTTTGAACCGCCTCGTGAGCTGTCTGAGAGCATTCGAGAACGTGTTGGGAGCGATTCGGAGGCTGTCTTCAGTTGCCGAAGGCCTCCTGGAGGAGCCCAAAGACTTAGAATGTGGCGTTGTGGTATACCAAGAAAAAACGTTCGACACGGGCCCAAGGATTCGAGGTTTCCAGAAGAAACCGCACACCGTAGGAGAGGCACTCCTGAAGGAGCCCGAGGACAGAGGATAGGGCTTTTGGCAGGAGCCCAAGGACTTAGGATGAGGTTTTCGGCAAGGACAAGTGCCCTCAGGATGAGGTTTCCCACAAGGGCCGCAGGACGTACGACAGGGCCTCCCGGAGACGCCGAAGGAATTAAGACAAGGTGCGTGAGAGGAGCCCGCAGAACTAAGATAAGGTGTTCGACAGGGGCGCGAGGACTTGGGAAATGAAGCCCAAGGACTCCTGGGAAGGCTGCGACTGGGGCCAATGGGCTCAGGATCAGGTGTTCGACAGGAGGAGCCCAAGGACAATGACAAGATGTTCGACAAGGCCCACGGACTTGGGATAATAAAGTTCCCACTAGGGGCTGCAGGACCTAAAAGAGGAGCCCAAGGACTTATGCCAAGGTGTTCGACGGAGGCCACAGAGACTTCGGGGAAGGCTTGCGACAGGGGCCGCGGGGAGCGTCGGAGAGAGGACTTCGGGACATATGTTTAAGCGAAACCCCATGACGCAGGATGTGTTCGACAGCGGCACGAGGCCTTAGGGTCAGGTGTCCGACACGGGCTGCAGAACGAAGGAGCGGGCTTCCTGGAGAGGTGCATTGACTTAGCATGAAGGATTATTTGAGAGGAGCCCTCGGACAATAATAGGAACAAGCAAACTAACAGTGGGCCAAGATCGTAGGATAAGGTGTTCGAGAGGGGCCTAAGGACATAAACAAAACTCAAAGAGAAGCTCAAGGACTTATGACGCGGTTCCAAGTGAGCGCAAATACTTAGGATGAAAAGCTTGAGAGGAGCTCCCCCGGAATTGGGATGAGGTGTAAGCCGGGGACAACGACGCGCAGAAGAGAACCTCCCTGAGAAGCCCCAGGATTGAGGATACAACGTTTGAGAAAAGGCCACCCGTGTCTCCTGGGGCTTCTTGGCGGGCTGTTCGGGAGCACGGTCTGGAATCGTAGGTACCTTTTTTTTTTCGTGCGTCTTCCAGCAAAAGGCAAAAGCAGTCACCGCTCCTGAGACGTCCAGACGAACACGTTGGACCAGGGCACGCTGGCAGGCAAGGGGCAACCAGTAGACTGAACGAGCTCAGTTCCCTCCTCCTATCCTCCGTCCTCTGTAAGACCGTTCGGCCCCCACACTCAACAATCGTGGAACGAGCCCATGCATCTGGGTAATGAGCGCCTGCGCAGCTTGGCGCGTCTCACGCTTACGGTGGACTTAAAGCCTAGGATCCATGAGCCCAGCTCCAAGTCCTAGAGTCTGGCTGCATCCTCTTTCGCAGGCGCAATTGCCATTCAGCGGCTGCGCAAGCACTGCCCACTCAACGACTGAAAAGGGACACGCTGTGACGCTGAACACATGCACGGGAAGCCATTGTCGCCTGCGTATGATCATCTTCACCCAATAAACCCCCTACCGCAAACCCAGCACGGTCGAGATGCTTGATGTAAACATTCAGGTACTGGATCCCCTCCCTCGTGCGCCCATGAGCCACCTTTACATCTACCTTCCCAACATGTTTCCACTTCGATGTTCCGTAGCTCACATCCAGGGCGTGAAAGTGAAGACCGCCAGACCACGTAGCCTCTACCCACACCCCTGTCATGTTCAATTCTCGGAAGTACAAGTCTGCGCACTGCATACCCATTTGCACCGCTTCAGCCTCTACATGAAGCAGGGCTCTCTCAGCGCGCTCCCCCTTTGGAATGTTGACCAGTGTGTGCTTGCCAGGCCTCCTCAGGTCGAAACGCTCGCCGTAGATGTTTCGTAGGTGTGGGTCCCCTGTGGCAGTCATGGCGCCGCTGGAGACAGCCAACGGTGGAACGGGCCCCGGGGAAGCCGTGGGGCCCGGCGTCGAGAGAGGCGTCGGACGCGGCGTCGGTGGCTGCGTTGAGATGACGGCTAGGGCCGCCGGGCCTCCGATGGCTTGCAGGGGAGCGTTGCCGGACGCGCCGGGCGCAGTGGCGGAGAGCGCGCTGCTGATAAGGGCAGCAAGCCTGGCCAGGTCTTGACCAGAAGCCTGGGAGCTCAACAGCTCTGTCGCGCTGTCCTGAACCGAATGGGCCGTCTCTTCCAGCACGACAATGCGGTAGTCGATGGTGACGTTGCCGGCCAGCGAGCGGCGCGTGGCCTCGTACTCGACGGTGGCGTCAAGACGGCTACCACTGTCAATGCTGCAGAACACCGCGACGTCTTCAGGGGCTACGGTACCGTTCATGTAACTCGCGATCGATGATTGAAGAGCCTCCCGCATGTCTGCGCTGCTGGAACAATCTGACGCAAACTTCTCGGGGTCGGGCACCGTCACAGCGAACTCGCCCTGGACCATCGGGGGGGCCGTCGGGGCGGGGGTCGGCGTGGGCGTCGGGCTGGCCGTCGGACTGGCCGTGGGGCCAGCCGCGGGGCTCGCTGCAGGGCTTGATGTGCAATTTCCGGCGTGATCGACCGCAATCTCTTCCGAGCCTCCGAACGCCTCCGTGGGGGCATTGCTGGCCGCGGCAGGCGCAGTGCTGGACAGCTCGTCGCTGATGATGGTGACGAGACTGGCCAAGCCCTGACTGGAAGCCTGGGGGCCCAAAAGCACTTCTGCGCTGTCCCGAATCGAGTCGACGAGTCCGACAGGCGCGGCGATGTCGTACTGAATGGTGACGTTGCTGGTACGGTGCTCGTCGACACGCTGCCCGAAGACGCAAAACACCGAGACGTCCTCAGGGGTGACGGTGCCATTGAAAATTGTCGCGATTGACGTTTCTAGAGCAACTCGCACGTCTGTACCGTTGGAACAATTCTCTGCAAATTCTTCGGGGTCGGGGACGGTGAGGGCAAAACCACCTTGAACCGTTGTGCAGACCGTCGGGCTTGGCGTCGGGCCAGCAGTTGGGCTGGCTGTCGGGCTGGCCGTCGGGCTGGCCGTCGGACTGGCCGACGGGCTGGCCGTCGGGCTGGCCGTAGGGCTGGCCGTAGGGCTGGCCGTGGGGCTGGCCGTCGGGCTGGCTGTCGGGCTGGCAGTTGGGCCGGCCGTGGGGCTAGCAGTCGGGCTGGCCGTCGGGCTGGCCGTAGGGCTGGCCGTCGGACTGGCTGTCGGGTAGCGCGTCGGGTTGGGCGTCGGGTAGGGCGTCGGGTAGGGCGTCGGGTAGCGCGTCGGGTAGGGCGTCGGGTAGGGCGTCGGGTAGCGCGTCGGGTAGGGCGTCGGGTAGGGCGTCGGGTAGCGCGTCGGGTTGGGCGTCGAGGGCGTCGGGTAGCGCGTCGGGAAGCGCGTCGGGTGGGGCGTGGGGCTGCGCGTCGGGAAGCGCGTCGGGTGGGGCGTGGGTCTGGGCGTCGGACTGGCTGTCGGGCTAGCAGTTGGGCTGGCCGTCGGGCTGGCCGTCGGGCTGGCAGTTGGGCTTGCCGTTGGGCTGGCTGTCGGGCTGGCAGTTGGGCTGGCCGTAGGGCTGGCCGTAGGGCTGGCCGTGGGGCTGGCCGTCGGGCTGGCTGTCGGGCTGGCAGTTGGGCCGGCCGTGGGGCTAGCAGTCGGGCTGGCCGTCGGGCTGGCCGTCGGGCTAGCCGTCGGACTGCGCGTTGGGTTGCGCGTCGGACTGGCAGTTGGGCTGGCCGTGGGGCTCGGCGTCGAACGTCTCCGTCTCGGCGTCGAACGTCTCCGTCGCGGCGCATAAGAGGGGGGGCTTGGAGCAGGAGGACTATTCCCCTGAAAGAATTGGCCAAACAGGCTTCCAAGTCCCCCAAGCGCAGGTGCTGCACCTGCAAACATCGCACCGCTAAGCGACAACAGCGCAGCCCCAACACCCCCCGCTACAATGCCTGCTAGAGCTGCTCCTATATCTTGAAGAGTATCGTCAAACGAGCTGGCTTCGACCTCGTACCCAAGGGTGACGTTGCCATCAACCAATTTGCAGAACACATTGATGGCCTGAGGGTCGACGGTGCTACCAAGTTCACCATCGAGGTAGGTCGCAATCGATGCTTGAATATCCGGGTTATTTGCACAATTTGCCACAAACTCTTCTGGGTCGAGCACCGTTGCAGAGAGCTCACCGTACACCGCTGGGGGGGCCGTCGGGGCGGGGGTCGGGCTGGCCGTCGGAATGGCCGTCGGGCTGGCCGTCGGGCTGGCAGTTGGGCTTGCCGTTGGGCTGGCTGTCGGGCTGGCAGTTGGTTTGGGCGTCGGGTAGGGCGTCGGGTAGCGCGTCGGGTTGGGCGTCGGGTAGGGCGTCGGGTAGGGCGTCGGGTAGCGCGTCGGGTAGGGCGTCGGGTAGGGCGTCGGGTAGCGCGTCGGGTTGGGCGTCGGGTAGGGCGTCGGGTAGGGCGTCGGGTAGCGCGTCGGGTTGGGCGTCGGGTAGGGCGTCGGGTAGCGCGTCGGGTTGGGCGTGGGGCTGGGCGTCGGAGTGGGCGTGGGGCTGGGCGTCGGGTTGGGCGTGGGGCTTGGCGTTGGGTTGGCCGTGGGGCTGGCCGTCGGGCTGGCCGTAGGGCTGGCCGTGGGGCTGGCCGTCGGGCTGGCCGTCGGACTGGCCGACGGGCTGGCCGTCGGGCTGGCCGTAGGGCTGGCCGTGGGGCTGGGCGTCGTGGAGATCGATGATGTCAGCAATGCAGCGACAATGTCTCCATCCCTTTCTGTGGATACCGCTAGTCGAACTTGACTTGGAAGTGATTGGAACGGTGGGCAATTTACACCGTTGACGGCAACGGTCATTGTTGCGAGGGACATGTCGATCTGCACACGGATCACATCACCAACTTGAATACCGTGATTTGAACAACCCTGCCAACTACTTTGACCCCACTTGTTGCCTAGAAGTTGGAGACCTCGACCAGATTGGCAATTGTACCCATCAACGCTGCTGTGGTAGCATCCGCTCTGTCCAAGATCGTACCCTTCGAATACGACACCGAATGCTACACTGCAGCCTGGCGATTGAGTACAGCCATGGGACGACGCGACATATGCAAACGATGCCGTGTAAGTCCCTGACTCTATCCATGGGCCAAACGCTATGGTCCTCCAGAGCCATGATGAAGCCGCACTCCTTGTCACCGTTGAGCCGTCGACGACGTACCACGTGTTGTCTGGCTGCCAAAGGGACACCGGCGAAGTAAACACCTGCAATGACGCGCCGTACTCGTAGAAATACAACAGCACACCCCTTGGGGGGCTTGCCACCGACCAAGAATGGAGCCTCACACCGTTTTTGTACACGACAATCATGTTCGCCTCCCACTGAAACCTGAACACATCATGCGTCGTGTATGTGCTGTCGGCTCTACCAGGTATGTAGACTCGCCCTGCTGGGAAAAGGCCTATATATGCTCCATTCGGGTATTTCGAATTGTCTGTCAGATCAGCGGTGAGACCAACCCGTTTGTGTGCCCATGTCTCTTCAGCCTGGATGCTTACGCTTACAATGCCGTGCGCACTCGCCGAGGCATCGTACGCCGACCCACTGGATATTTTTCGGATCGTGTTGCCCACTCGCACGGCTTGCGTGAGCGTCCATGCTGCCGACGGGTCAATGTGCACGTAGTGGAGGCAGTATCCTTCTCCACATGAATATGCCATTGTAGTACCACTGTCCCAGAGACTGCTGATTGATGCACGCGTCAGGCTGTGATACCCTGACACATATCGGGCAGATCGCGAACCTGCTTCAACTCCGTTCACTATGGTTACACCAACCATCTTGGTGTAGCCCCCATGGTAGACAGCGAAAATCCACAAAGTGAAATCGCTTCGGTGCAGGACTGCACGGACATTATTGTACTGGGACAACATAGCGCTGCTTGGACCGACTTGCCCAGTCACGGTAAGCACTCTCGTCTCAGCACCCTGATGCGGGCATTGGCTCCCTCTCGCCCACCCATAGTCGTTTCCCGTGTAGATGCTGCTCGACCCTGCGAGCGCGCAGTCGAACCTTGAGCAGCTGCCTCCACATCCACAATTTCCAACCCACCTGCAATAGTCGTTGCAGATGCCCTGCCCCTGGACGTCGTACCACCCGCGCTCACAGCTTCCTCCGTAGCCCAGGTCTACGATGTTCTGCTGGGCTGGTAGTATGTAGCGATCTTCGAGATTATTCGGATCGAAGGGGTAGATCACTGGGGAGATTAATGGAAAAGTAGAGGCGTTGGTCCGCTCGGCCCCCTTGCCGTCGGCATCGCCGCTCTTGTCGTCAGCGTTCAGCTGCAGCGAGCCCGCGTGACTGAATATGGAAAGCATGATTGCGATGTGTGTTGGCCCAACGCATCCTGGAACGAGCGGCGGCTCGCCTCAGAGCAAGAGGTCTGGCGATGTGTACGTGCGATGCCGGAGTGCACCGAGATCCGCTTGTATGCTTCAGCTCAAACGGCTTGAGCTTGAGCCAAAATGGAGGGCCCGAAAGCCTTCTCGGAGGCGTCTTGGAGGCAGGGTTGGCTCTCTTGTGCGCCTCCTAGTGGCATCTCCGCGCATATTGGAGACGTCCTGGAAGCCTTTTGGGTGCCTGTTGGCTGTTGCCGTGCTGACCTACGCTACGCGACAATATGCAATGATAAGAGACGCTGTGATACACGATGCTAGTATGCTATGCTGTGCGAAGCAATGGAATGCCTAGCTATGCGACCCCTCCCTCCCAATTACGACAGCATGGCAGCCTTGGCATAACCGCCACCCCCACCCCCGAATAAAACCAGCACGACGTCCTTATGAAACCAATCCCCTCACCATCGAAGGTAAACCCGAATCAGAACCAGGACAACGTCATTGAACCACGCCCTCCAATTGCTGTTGGTGCTCCCCTCCTCGTCCTCCTCCTGGTCGTCCTCCTCCTCCTCCTCCTCCTGCTCCTCCTCCTCCTCCTCCTCCTCCTCCCCCTTTTCCCTCTTTACCCAGTAACATGTCGCGAACGCTTCCTGCGGCACAATGCACGAACAAGATGAGGTACCCTCCTCCTCGCGTCTCTGCCTCACCCCCCCTTCTCCTCCTCCGTCGGCGTCTGTGTAATGATGTGCCGTGCGCTGCTCTGCCTCGCTATGATTGCTACGATATGCCATCCTATGCCATGCTATGCTATGCCGTGCTACGCGATGCTACACTACGCTATGCTATGCCGTGCCGTGCTGACCTACGCTACGCTACAATATGCAATGATAAGAGACGCTGTGATACACGATGCTACTATGCTATGCTGTGCGAAGCAATGGAATGCCAAGCTATGCGACCCCCCCCCTCCCAATTACGACAGCATGGCACCCTTGGCATAACCGCCACCCCACCCCCGAATAAAACCAGCACGACGTCCTTATGAAAACCAATCCCCTCACCATCGAAGGTAAACCCGAATCAGAACCAGGAAAACGTCATTGAACCACGCCCTCCAATTGCTGTTGGTGCTCCCCTCCTCGTCCTCCTCCTGGTCGTCCTCCTCCTCCTCCTCCTCCTGCTGCTCCTCCTCCTCCTCCTCCTCCCCCTTTTCCCTCTTCACCCAGTAACAAGTCGCGAACGCTTCCTGCGGCACAATGCACGAGCAAGATGAGGTACCCTCCTCCTCCCGTCTCTGCCTCACCCTCCTTCTCCTCCTCCGTCGGCGTCGCCCAGGGTGCCAGAAAACGACCCCAAATAAGACCAGCACGACGTCATTGTGAAAACCAAATCCCCCTGACATCCAGGTGCATCCCTTTACGCCAGCATACGTGTTTAGGAGTGGCCACCCCGAATAAAACCAACACGACGCCTTTATGAAAACCAATTCTCCCGACACCAAAAAAAAAACAAGAATACAACAAGAACGATCTCCTCAAGCAACCACGGGCCTATGGCTATGTGTCTCTCCTCGTTCCTTCGACCCTCCTCCCATCGTACCCGCCCGACTCCTGTACCATCACCACCCTCCTCGTCGCGCTTCGCTCCTCCTTGTCCTCCTCCTCCTCCTCCCCCTTCGCGTCCCCCCGAAATGACACAGAAGTAGACCCCCTAATTCCCCTCTACGTCTGCAAAGCTGCCCGAGAAACACCACCCACGAATAAAACCAGCACGACGTCATTAAGAAAACCAAGTCAGCTGACACGGAAATGAAACCTGAATTAAACCAGAACTGCGTCCTTCACTCCCCCCGTGTACTCCTGACCCTCCTCCTCTTCCCTCACCTTCGCCCGGGGTGCCAGAACACGACCCTGAGTAAAACCATCACAACGTCCTTAGGAAAACCAGGCCCGTCCGACATCCAAGTAAACTCCTCTACGGCAGCATAGGTGCATAGGGGCAACCAACCCGGATGAAACCAGCACGACGCCTTTATGCAAACCAATTCCCCCGACATCAAAGTGAACACCGAACACAACCAGAACGCCCTCCCTATGACCCCCACCATGGTTATTTGTCTTTTCCCGTTCCTCCGACCCTCCTCCCATCATACCCCCCGCTCTCCCGTACCATCACCACCCTCCTCATCGCGCCTCGATCCTCCTCCTCCTCCTCCACCTCCTCCTCCTCCTTCCCCTCCCACCTCGCCTCCACCCGTAACGTCAAAGCAGTAAGCCTCTGATTCCCCTCTACGTATGCATGGCTGCCCAGTAAACACCACCCACGAATAAAACCAGCACGACGTCAGTGAGAAAACTAAGTCAACCAGCAAGGAATCGAACTCTGAAGTAAACCAGAACGGCGTCCTTCACTCCCCCCCTTTCCTCATCACACTCCTCCTCCTCCTCCTCATCCTCCTACTCCTCCTCCTCCTCCTCCTCCTCCTCTTCCATCGGCTTCGCCCGGGGTGCCAGATAACGACCGCGAATAAAACCAGCACAACGTCCTTACGTCCTTATGACCCCCCAGACATCCAAGTAACTCCCTCTACGGCAACATGTTTGTACAGAGCCAACCACCCCGAATGAAACCAGCACCACGTTTTTATGCAAACCACTTCCCCCGACATCAAAGTGAACCCCAAAACTTATGGTTGTTTGTCTTTCCTCGTTCCTCCGACCCTCCTCCTTTAATACAACCCGCTCTCCTGTGCCATCACCACCCTCGTCCTCCTCCTCCTCCTCCTCCTCCTCCTCCTCCTCCTCCTCGTCGTCCTCGATCTCATCCTGCTCCATATCCTCCTCCTCCTCCTCCTCCTGTTCCATATCCTCCTCCTCTTCCTCTCCCTCCTCCTCCTCCTTCTCCTCCTCTTCCTCCGTCGGCCCGAGGACCTGTAATTTCAAGTGGTCCAAACGCGCTGTGCATGAAACTGGGGTCCCCAGAACCGTTTCTGAGGATCCGCAGTGCCCTGATTGTGCAAGTGTGACTCTGGGCTTGCGTCATGGAGCCAGATTTTGGCGATGGCTGCGGCTTGGGGCCCTCTTGGGGGAGTCCTTTGGGCGCCGACAGGGGCCGTCATAGGCGAAGTCCCGGGCCTTTTGGAGCTCCTCTTCAGCAATCTTGGGCCCCTCTGAACCACCTGGGAGGATGCCGCCTGAGGGCGATTGCCGTTGGAGCTTCCCGCAAGTTGGACACCTCTGGGGCTCTCGTGGGGACCTCTTGTAACCTTCTGGGGGCTGTCTGGGCCGTTCTTGGGCCATCCTGGCGCCGTCTTGCGCCCTTTTCCAACTTGCGTGGTCTGTCCGGAAGCGCCTCTGGGATCCTCTTGGGCTGTTTGGGGCGCCTGGGGAACAATAAAAGCGAACATGCAAAACTCGACGGGGCCCTTAATGGAACTCAATATTGTTTGTCTCCCACGGGAGACGTGGACGCCCTGTTGATGCCGTCATGGGGCCTCTTGGCTGCGACCTGGGCCGTTTTCAGGCCATCTTGAACCCCCTTGGAGCGCTATTGGGGGGGCGCTCTTGGGCCGTTTTGGAGGCGTCCGGGGCCGTCTGGAAGCAATCGCGAGTCCTCTTGGAGCGCTCTCGTGGGCGACAGAGCCCCCCAAAAGGCCGAGAACCGGCCCTGGAGCCCAGAGGGTACACGCGGTTAGCGCGGGAGGGGGCCCAACACTCCGACATAATGTGCCGATGGGACCACCCCACGGGTGATAAGGGAGATTCGGGAAAGGGGGGGTCGGTCGATTTGCGATGGCTCTGAGTTATTTGATTATTTCTTCAACTTTCTTGTGTCGCTCGCATCAGGACAATCATCAGAACAGGCAACAGGCCAACCATTGGGACAACCGCGAGAATCAAACGCGGGGACACCGCGTGGCCATTCGCGAGGACGACCACGTGGACCACCAGGAGAATCATCAGGGAAACCATCAGGGCAACAGTCAGGGCAACTGTCAGGACACCCATCAGGACAACCATTAGAACAACCATCACCACAACCACCAGGACAACCAACAGGACAACCATCAGGACAATCTTCAGGACAACCACCGGGACCACCGCAGGCCAACCATGAAGACAGCCATCAGGGCAACCACCAATCCAATCATCAAGACAAACACCAGGAAAACCTCCAGGACAACCATCGGGGCAACCAGCGGGGCAACCAGGGGGGCCACCCGCGGCCGGGGGCAAGGCCCGGCGGCCCTTTGGGCTCTTTGTGGCTTCTACAATGGCTGGGCCCCGAACAGCGCCGCCTCACCCGCGCGCGCGACTCGAACCAAAACCGAAACCGACTACCCGGCGGGGCGCTCTCTGTTCCACTGCGGTCTCTCTCCCCCACCTCTGATACGCTGCTTGCAACGCATTGGCGCCACAGCCACGCATGGCGCTGCGCCGACTCCATTCGTCGCAGTGGGAAGGGCAATGTGAAACGTTGACTGCGCAGCCGCAGTGCGGGAAGGGTTGCTAGGGATCCACGCGGGCGAACCAATCCGGAGGCGCGGGGAATGGCGCGGCGGAAAAGATGGGAGCAAGGAGCTGGCTTTCTGAAGGACCCTCAACGCGGCTCGCTCTCGTCGCCCGAGTCGCCAGCAGGGGCCGCCGCCCTCTTCTCCACGCCGTGCGCCAACAGCGCGCTGCCGCGCCCCTTGCCGTAGAGGTTTCCCGTCGTGCTCGTTTGCAAAACCTCCGCGAGCTTGCATGAGTTGTCTTGGGGAACCATGAAGTCGACGTCGGCCAGGCAGGCAGCAGCGTCGCCGTACCGCAGGCGCACATCCTCCAGCCGGATCTTCATGGCGGCGTACATGGCCACGTGCCCGTCCCTGGCCACACGCGCTGACCGGTGATAGACGCACGCCAATTTGCACGGGTTGGGGCCCGAGCAAAACCGCGAAGCGTGGGAGCGAGAGGCGCCGAGACTATGCAGAATGTTACGCACGCCCTGATCGATACACCACGTTCTTCGCGACGAACCCTGACACCCCTCCGTCGGCGTCGTTGCCCAGCCCGCCGAACCCGCGGAAGTTGGCATAGATGATCTCATCTAAGAGCGCCGCGTCCCCCGCCGA